AGCTCCACTGTCAAAAACGATTTACTGTGAATTCGCTCTCTCCAAATACACTAGTTCTCATGTTTGCCGATGAAAAAATAAAGATGTTAGATTCACTGAAGATAATAGTATATTGATGTTAACGCTTTTTTTTGAAGACTTTGCTGTTTCATATTTCTTGCAGTTTCATGATGTTGGAATGTTGGCAACTAAGTTCACACTTGAAAATATTTATCATTTACAAAATCTCAATCTCTAAAATATTTAAAACAAAATATTACTTTTCTTCTTGCAGGGTCTAGCAGCTATCTTGCATCTGTGACACCAAGTTCTCAATTTTTACTTTCTCCTTTTCCACTGTTTTCACATGTAGGGCAAAGTGTAGTCCATACCTTCTGGGTTTTCCTCTACTTTTTCTTACAGGAGGTAGATATTGTAGGCTTATTTTCATGCATCAATCTAATATTCTTTTTCAAGAGAAAAAATTAAGTTTTTTGAACACTGCAGAATAACAAGCAAAATTAAATAACAACTTATGGAGTGCCAATATCAGGAAAATGTATGCTACATTCAAAGCATTATCATAAATAATCTATTTTTCTTATGCCTTTTCTACACCCTTTCTTGATAAATCTCGTTTCTTTTTAGGTTAATAATAATTTATATGCCCATATTGTTGTTAGATAAGACAAGACAAGACTGCTTTCTTATTTCTCACACTAATCATTGTAATGAAATTTTCTTTAATTTTCTAACATTCTCTATGAAACATTTAAAATTGCCTCCTCTTTGGTCTTAGACTTTTAGAATGATTTCACTGCTGCATATGCACAATTACAATAAGAACCGCAGATATGTTTTTCATATAACATGCTGATGATGTTGATTACTAATGGTAACGTGAAAAAGATCAATCAATGTAACTGTTGTCCGATAGAATTGTTTTGTGAAAATACTTGATCTTGAGTAGTTAAATCTTTATGTTCTTTCATACAAAATATCTGATTAAATGTAAGAATATAATCAAATTTGAAAACCTTCAATAATTATGCCACACAAAGGGTATAATATAGAATGGCACTTGAGCTCAATACATCATACTCTTAGGCAATTTCTTTTATAAGTTCTCAATCGAAATTACTGATACTGTCTTCAATAGCTTAACTGAAACTAAAACTTTTAAAACTATCTTGTGCTGCTCTAAATAACTTGAAATTTGCCATTAAGAGAAGTTACATATATGCTTTCTATCTGCCACATCAAAGAAATAGACTTCCTTAACACCAACATCGTATGTGATCAAATCTTCATTATTCGTCAACTTCAGAAAAACAATACTTTAATTCTTATTTGACTCATGACAGTACTTGATATCAGCTGTTAATAAAAAATATGTGTATCATTTGCTGAAAAATATTAAAGGAAATGCTCTGATTTTGGAAGTACATTCCTTAGAGACCTTCAGTTTCAGTTTTGTCCATTTTAGGTAATTCACTCTTCATATTTCACATGCAATATTATAAAATACCAATCTTCCATTTCTGTCATCTTTCTTTCTTTTTCTTTCTTCTTTTCATTTCAATTGGGAACAAACATAATTTTTTCACCGTAACTAGTTACAACCAATTCCTATATTCGATATTCTTTATTGCAATATCCAATGAATCTATCCTTCTTTGTGAAAACAATGTATATTTTTTAAGTAAAAAATTCATTTCAGCAATGTTTTGTTTTTTTAACAGTACAGTAACGAAACTAAGGTCATACAGACTAAACTTTTCATACAATAATTCTTCTCTAATGTTTTAGTAAGCACATTGTGTACAGTATAATAAACTGAATTTCTTGAAACTCCATATTTTATTCACCATAATTTTGGATATTTCAAAATAAAACTCCATTTCATGCAAAAGCCTTAAAGTGTTTGCTATCCAGATATGAATTAGTGCGTAGTATCTTGATCAGAATTCTGAATCCTTCAATGTATCCACAGCAGCCTCTTTGAGAATCAATGCAGAATTGAAACTTTTAAAACAGCAGGAAGAATGCTAAAAATCTGTTTCGGTTAAGTAGTAATAAAAAAAATTAGTCTTGACATGTTCCACGATATTCTACAAAAACAGCCATTGAAAAATGTTGACACGAGCATCATTGCAAAGGTTTTTTAAAATTCATTTTTACCTTGTTCTCTATTAATTGTCTTGCACAGCATTCATAATTACATTCAAATTTGGTATATTTTTTCTCCTTCTATTGATTAATAACTGAATTCCAAGTACAACCAAAATACTGACGGTAAGAAGAGTATTTACGGCAAAACATTATCATGTACCATCTTATCTGTGTTTCTTACAGAACATGGAACATTTTAAGACCACTCAGCTCTTCTTCCACCAACTTTTGCCAAAGTTTAAAACTAAGCCTCAAACAATAAAATTCAACATGCAATATATAGTTGCAATTATAATTACAATGCAAATTTTTCAAGAACCACTTTCTTTCCCATTGGCTTCAACTCTTTCGAATGACTGCGACTCATTCATGTTATTCATGTACACTGCAGTATGTCTTTTGTCATTTGCCAACATAAAATCTCATTCAATTATGTATATTTAATATCCTGTATGCATTGCTCGTAATTTTAATCATTTTTTTTTAAATTTTCAATCAAGAAATTCAGCATTTTCAGAATTCAGTTTTCCAGCCATAGTATCAATATTTATACATAAGATATTCTTCTTGAATCACTGACATCTTCTAGAGGTAATTTGTGAAAGATAATTTTTTAATGTTCTGTACATATGAGACTTCATTTCAAAAACAAATTTGCTTCACCAAACAATCAATTTTTTAATTATTTGCAGTCCCACCTCAAATATTGTGACCATTCTTGTACTACAAGGTCATATACAAATTGCATAGAAATAAAAGGGAATTTCATTCTCTCTTGCACTGCCTTTGGCAAATTTGCCTCTACACATTTTGTATAATTTCATTAGGTATCAATATACTTTTGGTATTTTTGCCATCCATTTTGTCTCTTTCTTTTGTTAATGTTGTATAAAATATCAAAATCTTTATGCATAATCAAAAGAACTCTTATTCACACTTTAAAGAATTGAATGATTTCCAAATGAATATCAAATCCTCAATGTAAATGACTCCCAAAGAATCTTGTAATTTCACAAATCCTCAAAATTTCTTCAGGGCATGAAGGTATGGGAGGACCAGGTGATGTAGCCAGATGATACTCTTGGGTGTTTGAATACAGAAGGAAAAGAATATCATTAGAAGATCTCTTGTTTAAAAACGGCAGAATTTTTGTAGTCATAATTTATCTTTACAATTCATGCATATCCACAGCATTGGTAAATTGACTAAATTTATATTATACAGATATACATATGTACTCCAGTCTTCATCAGTTACTCATATTCAACAGGCACTGAATATATTATTCCAAATTTGAAACCTTACAAAATGCACAGAATTATGTGAAAATAAAGAGGAGTGATTATTTTTAGGGCTTAAATACAAAAGCCTAAAACAACAACCTCTTTTAAGAGGAACAATGACAAGATGCAAAGATAAGAAAGTTTGGTCAGTGAAGTTTCAAAACAAACTTTTTAGGAGAATCAATATTGGAACTCATTTTTTTATAGAACGTAAATAAGATAATGTATAAAATTTGATAGAATGTAAATATGATAAATGTAAATACCTATAAATTACATAATGGAAATTTGGAATATTTTTAATGCCCCTTTTCCCCCTGTAGCGTGCGCTGGAATCACCTGCACTCCAAATTATTACGTAACGCTTACGACAACACCCTCTGCCCTCTTCATAGTAAGTAAAAATATATTATATAACAGTAAAAACAATGTGTATTAATTTTATTTGCGTTATATATTAAAATCTATAATTGAAGTTAGAATAAGTTGGTAATGTCAACTGTATCTAAGAATAAGATTGGAGAAAATTTTTGATCAAAGGAAAGATGCATAGGTGAGACAATTTCTGACAAGCTATGCACCCACTCTCGTGGATGATGTTTGGGCAAGAGATTATTGTGCCAATTTAATTGAATTTAGAACAAACTACACATCAGTTTTGAATGTTGTCTTTGTAGTCTAACAGATTCAATCAATATAGCATTGAAGAACAATATTTCCATTTATTGTAGCAATTGCATCATAATTTCTTTACCCGTGGATCTCCCATGTTACCTGTGAAATCGTGGAATAGAGACATATGATTTTAGAGTTCACAACTCGATCCCATGAACATTGAACAATGTGAAATTCAAATATACACTCTTAAAGAAAGTGAATGAACTGTGAAAGAATTAGAGAACATAAACAAGAGCAAGGCAGGAGGAAACATAGAAGAGTATGTTCGTAGGTAGCGTCAGACGAAAGACTAAGAACACAAATTCAATGAACAAAATTCTCAAAAAGGGGCCCAAAAAGTCACAGTGTGACATAATACATGTGAAAATGGAGCGGGTAGTGACAAAAATCAAGATGATTTTAAGGAACAAGAAACTACTGAGTGATAGCCAAAGGAATACATTTTTACATGCACACCATCAGGACAATTTTCTAGTTAGGAAATTTGCAATTTTACTTTTACCAAATAGTAAGAATCAGTAAAATTTTTTAAAAATTCCCAGGAGGCTTCTGCCAAGTTAGGGTTTAGTCTTATATTCAGAGTCGAGTTATAATTGAGTAAATACAGTATATTTTAGATTTTATTCTCATTCTACTAATCATGTCAACAAATACTTGTTCACTAGACTGTTAAAAAAAAGCACCCATTGTGTGTTTTGGAACATTTGAATTATTTGATAACTGTTTAATCCCACTGCATTCTACAGCTGAATCAAGAAATGCTCCCACATATTTTTCTGAAAAAGACTGAACTAAAAATGAAAAAGGAGTAAATAATCATTATACTATAGCACACTAACACACAAATTTTACATGTTTTAAGAGTGGATAGCAAATTCTAACTCCAGAAAAATATGAAAAAGAAGTTTTGATGAAGAAAACGTAAATGAACCAAGCATGACTATTACGTTAATGAGTTCCAAAATAACTTTTCTCTGTCATTACAGTTAACAAAGGAAAGGAAATCTACTCCTCATTTTCTACAAATTCTGTTACAAACATGGATATTATCGACATTGTTAAACTTGCACTGAATAATGTGTATTTGAAACTATTTTTTATACTGTCAAAATTTATGATACATGAAATATACTTCTCTGTACTTACAAAAATATCAATTTTTTTAACTGCTTTTCTTGAATTTTTCTTAGCATGACTAATATCATCTCCACTTAAAGAACAATATTATACATCAAACATTCAATCAAGGTACACTTGTCATCACATTCAGAAGATTAATTCTAAGGATAACATATGTAAAAGGAATACTGCAACTGATTTTCTTGTATCCAAGATGATAAATATTCTTCATAATAGAAACTGAATTTATTTAACATAAGTTCAGGGAAAACAAATATATCCATATGAATGGCACAGCAATTTCTCTGAACATTTTTATACATTGATTCTTGGCTGACAGATGAAGACAACAATAGTTATTCCTTACTATCCTGTGTAATTGCCATGCTGTATTCTTGGAAAGAATGGCATGGTGTACTACAGCACAAGCTGAATGAATAAACTCTTCACTCCAGTGAGGTAACATTCTATTCCGACATTCTGTTTTCTGCATTTCACATTATTATTATCATTATGGTGGAACATTTACTATAAACAATTTGCCATAATACTTTCTCTTCCTTCCAGGAAAAAATAACAATCACAATAAATATTTGTTAACATGATCACTTGTAATTGCCTTGGTATGTTTTTCCTGGTTTGGGGATTAAACCCTCAGTAAACTCTAATTCTGCGATACTTATCATGGGTTTCACAGGATACGAGGGAAAACTTTCTTCTTTCGGAGTGACAAATTTCTCAGGAGTACAAGATATACTAGACATTGCTGCTAAAGTTCTCAAACGTTTCTTAAGAGGCAATGATAAATCTAATTCAGCCTTATATTTTGAATCTATAGCATCATCAATTTTTGTTTCAATTTTGGATTCAAATAAAGTTTTTTCAATCCTCCTCATAAAATCCTCTTCAGTTGGCAGCTTTTTTGTTGGTTTCACGTCTCTATTCTCAAATTCAAATCTTGACTCTTGGAGTACTGGACAAAAACCAGAATTCGTATGTACATAAGTATCATTAATATTTTTAACACCGGATGAAGATTCAACTGGAATCTGATGGAATGAATAAGTATCCAAACCATTCACGTTGGGGTTCACTGGAAGGGACCTCGCATCAATTATGGTGTTGTTCCTACAAAACGTCATGTTGTGAGCTGATGGATCATACACATACAATTCTCTGACAGGAGGCTGTGGAATAGGTGAAATACAAACAGAATTACAAACTCTTTTTGGGAACACAGGACTTACATCCATTGCACCATAATCTTCACAATACCTCACAACTGCTGCCTCTCTTTGAGGCAACTCACACACAAGACTATTATCCCTACTTTTCATAGCACTGCTGTCACTTACATGCAAAGAGGCACACATATTTCCTGTATCAATAACAGTACTTCGTTTATGAAAAATCATTTCATCAACACTTTGGACACTATTTAAATGATCTGTGTACATTATTTCCTCTTCGGTGCATACATTTGGTTTACTAACATCACATTCTTCAGAGCATACTTTATGATTCATGACTAAAACTGTTTCCCCTCCACTATCACAAGTAACATCCTCCACTTCGGGCACAATACCTTTTTCTTCTGGTGCTTGGACAAAATTCTCCCCAGGTTTTACAGAATCATTTATTCCTCTTTCCTCAGTATTAAATGTATACTGAATAACTTCAGTATTCCCTTCTTCCTCTTCTTCTGTTTCTGCTTGCTCATCTGCATCTCCGTCAATGTCATCTTCCACAGAAACAACAGATCCAACTGTGGGAACTGCTCCTGCAATAACATGAGAAGTATGAAAAAATATTTTCAAACAGGCAAATTGGAAAGAAAAGAGAAAATATTTTACAATAATTCATGTTTCAGCATCAACTGAGTGACAGATCTACGAAAATTTTCAGATAAAGCCTTTTCTTCAGTGACTGACTTCATGCAGAAATAAGCCACAGAACATTAAAAATTATTTTTGAATAGTTGTAGCTTTATAAAAGAGAAATGAATTTTGTAATATAAAAAGTCATTAAAATGAAAAATAATTTTAATAAGTAAACCCACATATAAGGATTTCAATCACATTCTTTATTTAGATGTCTTTTATTACAAAAATATTCTGTTAATAACATTTGATGGAAGTTAGTTTAAGGATTAAATAATGTCTTCCTTAACAGATTGTGTTACAGATTGATGGAAATATTCATCGCTAATTTAAACTTAAAAAAATTACCTATCTTTCGAAAGACAAGCAATTATCACAAGATTAGAAAGAAAAAGCTCATAGAAACGCAGAAGATTGAAAACTTAATACATACTGCAACTTGATTCACACGCTGAATTAAAAGTACTGAATTTCTGGAGAACACAAATAGCACAGTACATTCATTTTCTGCTAAGTTCAATAACCTAATATTTTGTTAGTAATCTGACCAATTAATCCTACAATTTAACTACTAAAATATAAATTTTAAAGAAAAAGAAAAATACACACCTAAGATTTCCAGGGAGAGGGAGGGATGAATAAACTAGAAGTGACATAAAATATTTAATATAATAATTAAATGACAATGAATTATGTATTTAAATTTATAAAACGATTAAATAATGAAACACTAACTTTCAAACTTAACCTTACATTAAAAGGAACTTGTTTTTAGTAATCAAAATTATCATTAACATGAAATCAAAAATAACTTATTTTTTAAAGAGAATTGCCAATGAAAAGATCACAGAATGAATTAATGAATTAAAACACAGTTTTGGGATCCTCATTGAGCATAATTCTTGACTCTCATGAAGTTATGAAGTCATTGGTCATGTGGACTCAACTGGACCTCACATCAAATACAGAGCTGATGGAATCAGGAAGGAGAAATAAGGATGGGAGATCTAAGGGGAAGGGGGGAGAGTTCAAGAAGGTAAAACACATGGGGAAAATCAGACATTGACAACATTTGGAAATTAAAGAGATTTTTCTCTGTGGTTAATATTGTTGAATGAATTTGTGAAGGTGTTAATTTCTAAAATAGAATTCATGACCTTGTGTAATTTTATATTTCATGTTTCCAAAGTAATTCTTGAAAATGTTCTACATTCTACATCAATCTTTTTTTATTTTTTTTAATATACCGACATTTTTATCCATGAACATAAAAAATTATAATAATATTTGTATGGAATCAGGCTGGATGAAAGCTTTCAACACCTGTTTTGACAGTACAATTAATGCAAATTTTGAATTTAATAAATTGTTTTGATCATAGCTCTGTATATAAATTAATTATTCATAACTGAACAGCAGACACAGCATTCAGAGTGAAAACAACTTCATTTATGCCTATTCCATCTGTTACAAAAAGTGTTACATGTTTTGCACATTATCTTGAAAGGAATGTTTTCAGTATATAATGAATTATGAAGGTTAGTATAAAATAATGGTGACATTTGTCTATTTATTCTATTTGGAAAAATGAAATTGAAATCATTAAATAATGAAGGGCTTGGAATAATATGATTTCCCAGTTTATAAATAAATTTCATATCATTTAATTCCCACATCAATTTCAAAGATGGATTATTTATAATAGTGGTCTATAAATGGATCAGGTACACCTGAAGTCCCAAACTTTTTTTGACTGGGGGGCTGAATAGGAAGGTTTTTAGAGCCTCGAGGGTCAAAAAATTTAATTTCATGATAGGATGGAATTTATCCCTTACTTGTTCAATTAAATTTTAAATACAGAACAACAAAACATGTAACAATTCACAAATTAATTTTTGAAACATATCAGCATATGAGCACACAATTCAGAACATAAAATTTGTAATAACACACATTGAGGGCTGCAATTTCAAAATTTAATTACAGACAGAATTCTTGCCTAAAACACAGAAATGATAATTTATTTTAAATTGTACTTCAATGACAGAAATGAATTTGTTTTTAGACTCTAATAAGTTAATTTGAGGCTCAATTTTTGTTTCACCTATTATTAAAATGTTTCTCAAATATTCAGCACTTAAGTCACAAAGGTACAAATCTCACATGGGTGTATGGACCAAAGAGTAACAATAAGAAACCACATTCTTATATCTTGCAAAAAAAAAAGTTACAGCCTGCACCATGATTAAATTAAATCAGAATTTACTTAGATTTGTCGGGCCACACACAGATGCAGACTATACTTTGGAAACCCCGAGGTAGACTATACTAGGAAGAGATCACTCTAAAAATGTATGCTAAAGTGTTTCTAAATGTTTTATATGTATGTTAAAGATGCAACTCCAAGTTGATGAGGCTCACAACAATAATGGTCTAACCAGATGTACACACAATGTTATCAATGCTTTTGCTGATTTTAGTTCTCTACAAGTCCTAACAAAACCTAACATTTGGATTTATTTATAAACTATTTTATCAATATGTCCTCATATGTCATTTTGCTGTCAATCTAAAATATCATGAAGAGATAATAAATTAAAACTTTTTAGCTTAGATCATTTATAAACATTATGAACATACACGGCCCAAGGTGAGAACACTGGGGTACACCTGATAGTACCTGCATTTCACCAGAAATGAAATTTGTGTATATCACGTACTGGATTTTACTTGTTACATAATCAGGAAAACCAACTTGACCAAAGAACCTATGATGCCAAATGATTTCGATTTATCTGCAAGTACTGCATGACTGAAGGTGTCAAAGACTTTACTGAAATCAGTGTATATACTATCGACTTAATATTTCTTTCCCATTTAATTTAAAATATAATGCGTATATGTAATTAAATATAAGTAGATATTTCTACCTGTGATGAAACCATATTGATTTGGCGAGATAAAAAGACAATGACTTTTTTAATCATATCCATAATAATTGACTCAAATTGGTACCTTATTTACAATAAGAAATGGTCCTGTAATTTCAAATGTCACTGATTGCGCCTCATTTATGCATTGGTGTAATAAATGCAGATTTGCTATTGTAAAAATACCTTCTGTTAATGATTTGGTGAATTGCTTTTCTAGAATGCACGGAAATATACAACAACATTCCTTCAATATGATTGAAAGTATTCCATCTGGGCTATCTAATAATTTTAACATTATTGAAGCATAAATAATGAGCTTTAGTGAAGCGGAATTGTAATTGAATTTTGCATATCCAATGCCTCCCTTATGTTGTTAAAATGTTCCTTGGTTTCATCAGTAACTTCTGAATAGTTTCCATTATACATTTCATCACAATCCAAACATGATATCTTGTACAAGTGTTTTCAGTTTCATTAAATAGAATTTAGTAATTTACATTATGAATAATTTTACACCCGTTTACTATACTACTCCTGAACTTGAAATTGTTGGGAGACTCCTTAAATTTGTTTCTTGAGACAATTGTTGCTTTTTTAAATATACAGAAATGTATTAGTACTGTATTATTACACTCTACAATATTATTCTGGCTATTGTGAATACTACTTTCATGTTGATTTTTTATTTGCAGCAGTTTGATTTTAGCAGTGTCCCAGATGCAATCATTTATTACAGCCGGTGTCGCTAGCCGAATTCGTTTTCGTTTACTATGCTCCGTGAAGATACAGAAGTTAAGCGAATTCGAGACTCGTGGGTATCTGGTTGGGTGACCGGCTAGGATCCCCGATATCTAACAGTGTCGAGCCCCTGGCTGAAGAGTTAAGACTGCGTCGTGACAAGACTTGTGACAAAGATAGTAAAGGAGGATTACTCCAAGCAAACGCTCAACGCCCAACAAGGATTTAAGAGACGCTTTGCGACAATGTTATAGTAACATATTAAAAAGTCCTGCCCGTGGCCGCTGATTTCTGACAGCAATCTAATTGGTATGCTATATCATCTGAGAATTTCTGTATCCAGATAATTCCAACATCATTGTTCTTCTAACTCACATGTAAACAAAGAATCAGTAGTTCATATGTTTGAATTATCAAGTGTAAATGTGTGTATGGTTTTTGTTGTAGTTTTTTTAACTTTATCCTTATGGATTATCTGGGATTTCACAAAATCTCTCTTACAAAAAAAACAAACCTTTTACACTGATTTATGTAATTCTGCTCCAGGAAGGTATCATGAGTGTTCTGTTGAGAGTTTCATCCAACAGGCAGCTTGAACGTCACCACAGTGACATCACTATGATATCTGCCAGGGGTAGTGTTGCGAAAATCGCAATATAGTAAAACAAACTTTTCCAGACATTTAACACCAATCAATTGCTATTTAGGGAAAATATGAATCAGAAATGTTACATCTTTCCTGTTTTAAATGTGTAGAAAGATAAATGTGCAGTCCAAAACAAGAACAAAATGCTTTAATTTACTTGGATGTATCTAGTAGTGAATGGTACGTTTATTGAAATTAATCACAAATACTTAGTAAACGGACATTCCTACTGGAGTTAGATGAGAGGCTGTAATAATAGAAGAAAGAACAGAGATATGAAGTACCCTTAGATTTAATTAAAATAATAGCAACTGTAAAACAAATCCTTTCCAAGTAACCATCGCAAAGGAAATAGATTTCTTGGACTTCAAAGCTGTTGCACATTCACTATGAGTGATATGCCTTTCATGCAGGTGCAGTGGATCAGAATTATGAAAAGTGAATAAGGGATTCTACAAAATTTGATTGCAGCTTACTGATGTTAAACAATGCATCCACATTTGGGCGATTTAAAAAAACGTTTGTGGCGAAAAATTTTGCGGACACAAGTACCTCAATTGAAATGCAAAAGTAAACTTTCAAAAGAAAAGGCAATGACTTGAAAACTTAACAGAAAATTCTTTGATCACTTGTTTACACAAGGGTAATGCTTAACATCTTTAATGTTCTAAAGATTCAAGTTGTTTGAATTTGCGCATTTCTTTCATGAACGTATCAATTGTTTTTATTTTCATTGGATATGGTCTAGTATTCAAGTAAAGGTGAGGTACAATTTCTTTTTTTCAATTTTACTTTTGAATTGCATCACAACCATTGACTTAACATTAGATGTATTTTAAAAGCATTATATAAATATTTTTTGTAAATTAATTCATAACTTTTCTGTAAGCATATACCCAAGAAATTCTACCTTCTTTTCTTCCTAAATAAATTCCATTTTTGCACTTAGCCTGGTGGTCTCTCGTGAAATTTCCAAAAATCTTAAGTGTTTCAGTATAAATGAGTTAAAAGTGGCACATCATAAATTAAAATTTTTCTCCAAAATTTGAACATTTTTCTTCTGAAAAAGTTGATTTTTTGATAAATCTCACAATCTACAACAAAAATATTACTGGATGGAAAATAAACATTCTTTACTTTTGAGACCTCTAAATATTATGTTCTATATTTCCTGTAGGGTTGGCTAATTTTGAAAAATTTGTTTATTAATGTGTGAATGTACAAAAGATTTTAAAGCTAAATAAACTTTGCAGCATTGTTCCGTGACAGCAAATTATGTTGAATTTCATTGACATAAATTAATTCTGCGTTCATTAGCTCACTTGGTCATGAATGCAACAGGAAGATCAATTTTTACTTATATAGTGGTTTTTAGAAGATTCTACAATTAATATGAGATATTCCATGCTATGTTGGGTTCCATTAGTTTGCCATTTAAGAAGAATGCTCAGAAAAGGTTAACTACTGAAAATTATGAACCCAGCATTAACAATTGTCAATAGTCTTTCGAAGGCAATTTTATACTAATTAGTAAATTATGTAGGCTACCATTCTTTTCAAAATTGCAAAGTATGAAGTATGTAATTTTTTAAATATTATTCTCCAACACATTCTAAAAAAAATATAACTTTAAACAACAGAAGTTGTATTAATCTGAACTCAAATGCCCAACACATACATACATTTATATATTTTTTGCAATTCAACTATGTACTTACCCACCACTGGACTCATTTCCTGACAAGTCAAATCGTTATCTGGAAGAGGCGAGGAAGAGTCTTCAGACACAAAGGGTTCCTCAACATTCTCTGTCGTATAATTTTCTGAACAGCTATCTTGATTATATCTGATAGATGCCTCCCCAACCTCAAATGTTTCTTGAATAACAAAATTGTCTTCTTCATAACCCACATTTGAGTCCTCCACAGTTTCTGAAGCATCACAACATCCTTCCTCTGGCACAGATTCATCAAAACTATCTTTTACAACCCCTTCAGGATCTGAACATTCTTGGGTAGTCTTCTCTGCACTGAAACTATCATGCGCAGTCTCTTCGGCATCAAAACAACCTTGTGAAAGCTCTGCTTCAAGAGAATCCTGAATAGGCTCACTTGAATCAAAACAATTCAACACATCTTCTTCAGCATCAAATGAATTCTGTGACTGCTCTTCTGAACTGAAACAATTTTGTGCAATTTCACCTGCATCATAACATTTTTGTATACTTTCCACTATGTCGTCATTCTCTTGCATGTTCTCTACAGCATTACAAGTATCCAGAGTAGTCTTTCTTGCACTACAGTTTTCTTGTAATGTTTCATCATCATCATTATCATCATAATCATCAAAGTCTTCAGGTGAATTTACATCTTCATACATACTACTGGCAAATAGTGGATCATGAACCTCAACAACTTTGTTACTGTCTTTAATTCCTGTAGAAACGTCATTATTCTTTTCATTATTACTTTCAATATCTTCGCATTCTTTGCGGAGAAGTCTATTTTCCGGAATGGGGACCATCTGATCAGTAACAGCATCTCCCAAGGATTTCTTCTTTTGCAACTCATGCGAATCGTCTTTTAAATCTTCCGAGTTATTAACTTTCTTCATTCTTTAAAATATAACACTCGGAATTGTTGAGTCACAAAATTAACCTTCAGAATTTCCAACGAACATTTTCAACAAGACCCTCGTGCACGTCTGTTTACAAATGTCCTGAAACAGGGACATATTACAATCACTTTGTTCACAAATTGTAGCAATCACGTTTACCAGACTGTATTTCCCTTTCCAACTAGCAATGAGTAATTGAAAACCAAATACAAAAATGAACACAAATGAATTGAAATATATGCTCATCACAATCATTAAAATGCTGTTTACTTACTGACACAATTATTTTCACATTTCTCACGGATCACTCTCCAAAAATAATTGCAATATCACGACCCACGCATATAGTAATCCCATTTCGTCGATGTTTATCGTACATCACTATAATTTTTAACCCTGCCTCACTGTCACCGAGTTTCGAGACGTGTCCGTCTTTAAACGTTGACTTGTCGATGGTCCAACCTGTACGCTGAAACCTTGAACATCATGGAGTGCACCTCGCAACCACGCAAGGTACACGCACCATTTAGACGCTCTGCGCACAATTTGACGTCATCCTAGTCACAATAGCGGGCAATTCAAAACAGAACAACACAGAAGCCTCGAGTCAATAGTATATTTCAAAAATATTCCAATAAATTGACAATTTTTTTCTTGAATGGTTAATGAGTATATTAATAGAATTGTTAAACAATTGTAATTTTAGTTGTATTTTATTTTGTTATTTAAAGACCTATTAAATAATCATTGTTAAAAATTGTACAAATTACATTGTAAATAATTATCAAAATTATGCAGTGTGGTTGCTTTGTTACCAAAACGAGATATTCATATTAAAATTAGCCGCATGCAATTAGTTAATAATAATAAAATTAATATTAATAATATAAATAGTAATAGTAATAATAATAATAATAATAATAATAATAATAAAGCCGAAGCAGCAGATACTCAAATACAACAATGCTGTTCAATCAGATTTTTAAAACATTTACCCTGAATCCATTGTTAAATGCTACGAGACCCTTTATTTCCCAAGAGGGTTGGATATGGATAGTGCTAGCGCGTTCCACCGCTGGGGCATGTTTCGATCCCCTCAAATCCATGCGGAATTTGTAATTAAATTTCTCGTCGAGAGTTATACATACATACTTGATTTCAGAAAGATAATACGAAAATGGTTTTTTTCCTATTCTCCCCCCCCCCCTTTTTAGGGATTTGGGCTTCATTTGTTTTAAAGCGTATAATTTCGAAACTAATAGTCGTAAATACGTCCGCTTTGCACCATTGAATATCTCGTGCAGAGTTGTACTTACATACATGATTTCAGAAAGATTCTACGAAATTAGGTTTTTTCCAATTTTTTGCCCCAATTTCGGGATTTGGGCTTCATTTGTTTTCAAGCTTATAATTTCGAAACTAGTAGTCGGATTGACTTCGGCTTTGCACAATTGAATTTCTCGCCGAGAGTTGTACTTACATGAGTGATTTTAGAAAGATACTGAGAAATTAGTTTTCTTCCAATTTTTGCCCCAATTTCGGGATTTGGGCTTCCTTTGTTTTCAAGCGTCTAATTTCGAAACTAATAGTCGTAAAGACATCTGCTTTACACAATTCAATTTCTCGCGGAGAGATGTACTTACATACGTGATTTCAGAAAGATACTACAAAATTAAGTTTTCTCCAATTGTTGGCCCCAATTCCGGGATTTGGGCTTCATTTTTTTAAAGCGTATAATTTCGAAACTAATAGTAAAGATGTCTGCTGTGCACCATTGAATTTCTCGTCGAGAGTTCTACTTACATACGTGATTTCAGAATCATTCTAACAAATTAGGTTTTTTCCAATTTTTTGCCCCAATTTCGGGATTTGGGCATTGTTTTTTTTCAAGCGTATAATTTCAAAACTAATAGTCGGATTGACGTCTGGTTTGCAAAATTGAATTTCTCGTCGAGAGTTGTACTTACATACGTGATTTCAGAAAGATA